CGGGGGCCCGAGTGGGGCAGGAGCCCGCACCCCCAGTGTCCTGGCCTGCCGTTGGGGCGACGTCACTCCATCCGGGGAAACGGGATGAAAGCTGTGTGGTCCCTGCCCCGCCCCCTCCCCGATTCCAGAAACGAGGCCCCGAACCCGAGCTGACGTAACCGCCCGCGGAGCTGTTGGCACTGGAGGCTGGAAGGGAAAGGACAGGGGGAGTGGATGGTTTAACAGAGAACAAAGGAGGGAGGCGCTTCAGCCACGCGGGGAGTCCCCCTCCCCCTTCTCATGCAGGCCGCCGAGTGGCCACGGGGATGGGGCTCCCTCGGGCCCCTGCCTTGCGAGCGCCCCAGAAAACCCAGGGATTGGAGGCAGGAGGACGGGGTCCCAGCTCACCTCCACCTCTCACCTGGGAGCAGGCCACTCGGCCTTTGTGGGCCTCAGTTTCCCCACGTGGAGAATGAGGGTTTGGACAAGATTATGAATATGTTTTAAGGAGGATAAGGCCCAGGAAGGGAGGGGGGCCTGTCCTGAGCGCCCCTTCACTGCCACCCCCATGTCAGAAAACAAGGCGGGGCCAGCGGCCAGAAGTGTCACTCACCCAAGTCTCTTTCTGTTGCTCCCGCCCAGTACTCATTAGCAAACATTTGTGTACCGTGGCCTGTGTGCGGAACATAGGCCGCCCTGAGTGTTTGCGGGTCCACATACCATATGTCCACATGTTTAAAAGTTCTAAACCAAGCTAACCAACTCTTAAATAAAATACGTTCTGCCCGCGGGCGTGGCTCAACCTATGAACCAGGAGGTCGGTGGTTCGATTCCTGGTCAGGGCACATGCCGGGTTGTGGGCTCCATCCCCAGTGTGCGGCGTGCAGGAGGCAGCCGGTCCATGATTCTCTCTCATCACTGATGTTTCTATCTTTCTCTCCTTTCCTCCCTCTGAAATCAATTAACAAACACTAAAAAAATATATGTTCTATCCTCCTACCTTGTCAGAGATACCTCCATAACAATCTGGAAAGCCAAGTTCAAGTTTGGAATTTTTGTATTGGCGCTTCTTTACCAGTTCAGAGCTGGAATGTGGCGGCACTGAGAGTGGCACCGGCTCAAGGCCCGCATGTGACTTCCTCTCTCCTCAGCCTGCGCCCATCCCACACCACCAGACACTCGCCCACACATGTCCTCAGGTGCCTGGGGCCCCTTCCCCAGGGCACAGTGGTGGGGGCACAGTCTGCCCTCAGGAGGATGGACTAAGAAAGGGGGTTCAGAATCTATTGGGCAGGGAGTTCTGAGGTCCCAGGTACCCAGAATGCAGTTGTGGGCGAGCATGCCCATTGGCCCGGGACTCCTGCTCCGCCTCCCTCCGCCTCGCCCAGGGTGAGAGTGTGTGGCAGCGATGGAAGGCCAATGCCTGCGGGAGGAGGGAAGGTGTCAGGAAGGGGCGCGTTTCCTAGCGAAGGTGGCATGTGTGCTGAGCCTGTGGGGACGTGGGAAATGAAAGGACCAAAGGCCTGGGGACCTGCCACTCAGGGCGGGAGTGTCCGTGAATTGTGACCTCAGTGCAGAAAGGCTGGCGAGGGGCAGGTCACCCATCAGAGCAGGATGAGACCCTCCAGCCCACCCCAGGGCAGCTCTGCACTGGGCCAAAGCCCCTGCACCCCTCCCCGCGCCGTGCCACCGCGGGCACCAGTCTCAGAACCTTCAGGGGGAATTCTGCCCCCTGCTTTGCTGAAAGAGATGACCCTGGAAAGAAGCTTTCTTTGATAATTTTTTAAAAATACGTTTTTATTGATGTCAGAGAGGAAGGGAGAGAGAGAGAGAAACATCAATGATGAGAATCAAGGATCGGCTGCCTCCTGCACGCCTCACACTGGGGATCCAGCCACAACCCGGGCCTGTGCCCTGACGGGGAACAGGCCTCCTGGCTCTGGGAACAGCCCTCCACCAAGGGCGGAAGTTGGTGGGTAAATGCCCCGCCTTCTCCCGCAGACTTGGCCACGGATGAGGCTGCACTCGCCCAGGTGCCAGCGTGCCCGGCCACACATGAGTCTCACTCCGCACGCCCTGCTGGTGCCTCCACATCACCTCCCCGGTCAAAGCGCTTGCGATCGGGTCCCCGGCTCAAGATCTGCTGCTGGTCCTCGTCGGTAAATAAAGGCGTGGAAGGAAACGGCCTCCTATCAGATGAACTGGGCTGCCTGGGTGTCGGGTACACCTGCCCCGCCCCCTGCCCCCGCGGAAGGGCCTGGTCTCTGCGTGGTGTGTGCATGTCGGTGCAAGCAGGAGGGGTTGGGAGCAGAGAAATAGAAGGAACCTGGTTTAGCCCGGCCCGGGTTCTCAATGGTTAGCGCCGACCTATGAACCAGGAGTTGATGGTTCCATTCCAGTCAGGGCACATGCGCGGGTTGTGGGCTTGATCCCCAGTAGGGGGCGTGCATGAGGCAGCCGATCCGTGATTCTCATCATTGATGTTTCTCTCTCTCCCTCTCCCTTCCTCTCTGAGACCAATAAAAATATATTTAAAAAGAAAAGCAAAGAAGGGACCTGGTTTAATAGCCAAGTCCCCTCTGGGAGCCCCCATAGGAGGCTGCTGACGGGCTGAACTCCTGAACCCAAGGAGGAATTCGCTCTTTTCCTTTCACTAGACGCCCCGGGCAGGGTCCCTGCTCACTGCTCACCCCCCTCCCCGCCCCCAGGCCGCAGGAATCACAGAGAAAGGCGGGGCTTCCCACCGCCCCGTGGGGAGGGGAGCTTTCTAGAAGGCCACCTGCACGGGCAGAGCGTTGCATCCTGGGCCACGTTTGTTTCTCAGGCTCCCCCGCCCCCCTCCCCTTTCGGCCCCTTCTGATCGGTCCCCAAAGGCTTTGTGACGGAGCCCGGCGGGGTGCAAACGGCCCGGGGCCCCTGAGCGGCTGTGGCCCGGCTCGACCTGCAGATGAAAGGGGCGCGTCTGAAGCTCCGCCTGGGGGCGTGCCCGGCGATCGCACTTCCTGTGGCCACCCCTCCCCCCTGGGAGCACGTTTTGGATTCTTAGGCCGCTTGTCCACCCCCCCACCCCCCAGGCTGGAGTCACAGTGTGGATGGGCCCTGATTGTTCCTCGCTTCCCGCTCGGGAGGACTGTCTGAGTTCACGGGCGGGAAGGGCCTCCGCAGGGAGATCCCTGGCCCAGAGCAACAGGCCCGCGAGCCTGCAGAAGACAATGCAAAGGATGCTACCTGCCCTGGCCGGTGTGGCTCAGTGGATAGAGCATCGGCCTGCGGACTGAAGGGTCCCGGGTTCGATTCCGGTCAAGGGCACGTGCCTTGGATGTGGGCTCCTCCCTAGTCGGGGCCCTGGTCGACGCACATGCCTCCCCAATCCATGTGTTTCTCTCACATCGATGTTTCTCTCAGTCTTTCCCTCTCCCTTCCTCTCTCCCTAAAAATCAACGGAAAACTATCCTCGGGTGAGGATTAAGAAAACAAACAAGCAACCAAACAAACAAACAAACAGAAAACCCCACAAAAACCCCCACCACAAATGCAGATGCTGATTCCAGAGGTGAGGGTGGGGGTGCTGAGAGTCTCCATCCCTAACCAGCTCCCCATGTTGCTGCCACCAGACTCTAAGGCCCAATGGGTTCGAGAAACCCCAGCCAGATGGGGAAAATGGCCCCTAGACCTGCTGCCCTGGGCGGTGGCCAGCTCAGCCTCCCCCCCGCCCTCCTCCCCAAACCAGGTCTCTAGCCAGATGGGCACGAGGGTGGCATCCATCACTGCACAGCAAGGCCGATCGGCTGCCCGGACCTGGCCCCGCTCTCCGGGTTACATAACAT